TCAGATTCTGAGCTGCAGAGATGGCTCACAGGCTGTTCTTCCTGGAGCCCGAGTTCAATTCCAGGCACCCACATGGCAGCTCATAACCATCAGATCCAGTGACCTCTTCTGGTCTACAGATGTACATGCAAACAAACTATATATATATATATATCACAAAGATCAGATTTGCTCTTCCTTGATTGTGGTCTGATGTTTTGTTGTTGTTGTTGTGAGTTTTTTGGGGGGGGGGGTGTTTTGTTTTTTGAGGCCAGGTTTCTCTGTAGCTTTGTAGCCTGTCCTGGAACTAGGTCTTATAGACCTCGAACACACAGAGATCCTCCTTCCTCAGCCTCCCGGAGTCCTGGGATTAAAGGCGTACGCCACCACTGCCTAGTGTGTCTCAGTTTTTAATCCATATATCCAATGTAACTTCCTCCTAGAAGGGATTTTTGACATGTAATGAGTGAAGCCTTGCGTGTCCATGTGTGTGGCTTGTAACAGTGTCATCTCCTGCGATCTAAGTGTTATTCTTTTGTTGACGTGTTTAGTTAAAGTAGCATCATAGTGACAAGCTGTCCATCTTTTGACCTCTTTGTTCTAACTTGCATTTTAGTATGCAACCGAGGATGGACTTGTCCTCCACACAAATGACCAGGCCAGGACTCTATCCAAAGAATGGGTTTGTATTTAAGGGCCCGAGCAGTTAGATCGTCCTCAGAAAAGAAGGTAAGGACTTCTAAGGACCTATTGTGTAAGCTAAATCAGAGAGGCCCAAACAGAGATGCCAAGAATCTGAGGTTTTTCTCTAGGAAGGAGGTGAGGAGGGGGGTTCCCCTTTCCTCGCTGATGTCAGGAGACCTTGAAGGAACATAGATTGGAAGATGAAGTTTGTGATCCAAAATGGTATCAGTATGATAGGAACGCAGGCCGTGTGCTGCTGGGGGGTCGTGGCTCTGGATTGCGTGTCCTTGTGGACACTGCTTTCTCTCAGTTGGGGTGTAGGGTAAGAGTGCTTTTCTTCTTCCTCATCCTTTCTGCCTTCCTCTTTTCTTCCATCTTCATTTTTTTTTTTTTTTAAATTGAAGGTGGCCAACTAGATGGCTCACTTGCTGCTCATCCAGGACTGTCCCTAGGTTTGCGTCGCCCAGTGCCGCTCTGTGCTGCTCAGCGTGTAGGAGCTCGCTCTGCTCTGCCTGTCCCTGTAGCGAGGTCCCGGTTTACAGTCCTTGGATCTTCACCTCCTCGAACTGCGTCATCTTCCACCCATAGATGTCATTGAGCTGTCGACCCCCAAACAACAGGGAACTGCACTTGGGAAGAATGTTTCCTGTTCCTTACACACACGCGCGCGCGTCCCATCATGTTCTAACATGAAGGGTGTTTTGCCTACGTGTATATTTGTGTACTACAGAGGCCAGAAGGGGTCGTCCTTAGCGATGACTCTGTAATCCCAGCACTTGGAGAAAGATGGAAACAGGAGCTGGAAGGCGCAATGCCAGCATGGGGCACCCTACGCTAGCGTCTTTAAACAAACAACTCGTCAGAAATTTGGACTTTGATTCTTTTTTTTTTTTTTTCTTTTTTGTTTGATTGAGACAGGGTCTATTAGCCCAACCTAGTATTTCATACCTGGTGAGATCAGTTATCTTTTAAAGTTCCTGTGTCAGCTGTCCAGTCCTTTAGAGGCTGAGGCAGGATTTCCATGAGTTCCAGACCAGCCTAGACGGCACAAGAAGAACCCTGTCTCAGAAACTAAACCCAAATCTCAGTGAGCTTCCAGACAGACTCAGGCTGGTCTGCAGCATGAAACCTTCCTTGTCTCTAAAAGGAAAAGGAAAAATAATTCTCTTGTGTACACAATACTTTAATGATAGTTTATGACAAAATAAGACAGTGTTTTAACATGCATCGTGCCAGAAAGGACAGACAGATTTGTGAGTGTTTGCATGTAAAACTTCACAAGTTATCTTCGGGTCATGATATTTGTTTTATTGTTGCTAAAGAAGAAAAGGAAACTTTTTTTTTTCCCTGTGTCCTGATTTTCTCTTTCCTGTTGTTGAAATGCTGCAGCTTCATCGTTAAGCCCTGACGTGCCACTGACATCACAGAGACTAAGAAGCAGGTCTGAGGAGGCCAAGCATCTAATGTCCTCTTAATAATAATTCTGACCCTTCCCCAAACACAACAGCTTAGGATGGCATACACTTTTAGGAGCCCATAAAGGTGATTCTTAGTATAATTTATAATAGTTGGGAATAGAAGGTGGACTTGATTGACTGGTAACAACAGGCTCAGATTTGACCTGCGTGGAAGATCCAGGGCCTTGTGTTAGCCAGGTCACGTCATGAAATTCCCATCAACAACTTTCAAGTCAGAAGCAAGCCGGAACTTGGGTCTCTCTCATGCTGGATTATGTAGGACTTTCATGCTCTGTTAGCTGGTGGTAAAATTGCTTCTCCATGGTATTAGCATTGGGAGAAGCAGAGTCCTTTAAGGAAAACTAGGTTGGTGTTGGCAAAAGAAGTGGGAAATTGCACGACTATGGTAATGGATAGATTTCCTAACTATATTCTTTTGTATTCAAAGACAAGTTTTTCCATGCTTAGTGTTTTAAGCTGAGCACTAAATTGCCTCTTTGTAAGCCACATTTTAAACATGAATGCTAAGTAACTAGCATTTGGGTTTTTTTATTTTATTTTTTTGGAATACTTGATTTTAAATTTGTACCAATTATGTTACTTAGTCTTGACCATATTTCAGACTGGCTGTATGAAGCTGGAGCCATCTCCATTTCTGTCTTTGTCTGCTTCTCATTTACATGTAGAAGAAGCACTCACAGTGCCGACAGTTTTCCTTCTAATATTTAAGCGTGCCATGTGAATAAATAAAATAAAATAAATAAATAAAGCGTACGGGAAACCTGTATGTATGTGAAGAGTTTGTCCTGGGTCTACTCCATTCCAGCCAGCCCTCGGAGTCTGAGGCCTCCTGTGCCAGTAATCCACAGGTACTCCCAGCCTTCATACAAAGCTGCCTAGCGTGTGTTTATAGCCCACACTCATCATCCACCCATATTCCTTCAAATATTTCTAGATTCCCTATAATACAGTGCAAAATGAATGTTGACACACAGTGTTGCTGTGTCTCCTGGCTAGAGATTGCACAGAGAAACCCTGTCTGGAAACAAAACAACAGAAGAGCACATACCGCTCTTGCTGACAAGCTGAATTGGCTCCTACCACCCATGTCACGGGGCTCAGAACCACGTACAATTTCAGCTGCAGGAGATGGCCTCAGACACCTGCACTCACATACACATACCGCCCAACACACACACACACACACGGCTATACTTAAGTAAAATTAAGACGTCTCAAAGGAGGACACGCTGACCAGAAAAGACTGTATGATCAGAACTTGGGCTTTTCCTCCTGAGTGTTCATCAGCAGCTGATTAAATACGATCGCTGGGTATGGATGGCTTGTTGTGCCGGTGGGACCACCATCTGCTTCACTTTCCCCATCTTCAAGGCGGCCACAGACTCGGGTGTGCTCAGTAGCCCTTAGCTAACGCGTGTGAGGACCTGGATTCGATCCCTGGTCCAGAGTCAGTTAAGTCAGTCAAGGGATGTAGCATGACAGCCTAGAGCAGTGTTCTCACCCTTCCTCGCGCTGTGACCTTTTAATACAGCTCCTCGGGTGTTGTGACCCCCCCACACACACACCATAACATTGTTTTCGTTGCTACTTTATAACTACTTTATAACTTTGTAATTTTGCTGCTGTTTCAAGTTGTAATGTGAATGCTTTTGGAGATAGAGGTTTGCAGAAGGGGTTGAGACCCACAGGGTGTGTGCAAAGTAGCTGATTGGCCTGAAGCCCTGAGCGTTCACTGGCTTGGAGCGTTCCTGTTTGCCACTGATCGTATATGTTGCTGCTGCTTATAGGTTTTAACATTTTGTTTGAAATTTGTGAATTTTAGGAATTTTTTTTTTATTTGCTCCTATTTAAAGTATTTTTTTTCAAGATTTTGTTCTCTTTTTGATTTATTTCATGTGCATTGCTGTTTTGCCAGTGTGAGGGTGTCAGATCCCTTAGAATTGTAGATATAGACAGTTGTGAGCTTCCATGTAGGTGCTGGGAATTGAACGTAGGTTCTCTGGAAGAGCAGCCAGTGCTCTCAACTGCTGAGCCATATCTCCTGCCACTCATGATTTATTTTTAAAGTCTTTATTTGAATTGTGTATCTGTGCCTGTGCCGTGTCTGCCTGAAGAAACCAGAAATGTTGATACCCTGGACTGGAGTTACAGGCAGTTGTGAACTGCCTGATTTGGATCCTGAGAAGTAAACTTGGTATTCTACAAGAGTAGTTTGTGAGCCGGGCGGTGGTGGCGCACGCTTTTAATCCCAGCACTGGGGAGGCAGAGGCAGGCGGATCTCTGGGAGTTCGAGACCAGCCTGGTCCACAAGAGCTAGTTCCAGGACAGACTCCAAAACCACAGAGAAACCCTGTCTCGAAAAAAAACCAAAAAAAAAAAAAAGAGTAGTTTGTGCTTATAACTACTGAGCCATCTCTTTAGCCTGTCGAGGTGTGTGTGTGTGCGCGCATGTGCATGCATGCGTCCGCGGCCATGCATATGTACCATGTGTATGTAGTGCCCACAGAGGTCAACAGGACATCAGGACCCTTGTAGCTGGAGTTACTATGAGCTGCCTACTCTTGAGTGCTGGGAGCCTTTTCTCCAGATCTATGTTTTCACTTAAGGTTGGTTGGTTTTCTTGAGACAAGATCTTCTCTGTGCAGACTAGACTGGCCTGGAACTCAACAGAAATTCTCCTACCTCTGTCTCTTCTCTCTTGGGATTGTAGAGAATATTTAGGAGTATTTCTTAAAACCAGCCTCTCCACTGATGCAGATAATTCCAATCAGACCAAATTAGACCAAATAAAAGATGCCCATGTTTAATTCAGTACTCCTTCCCGAATGGCACTGGAAAAAAGCATGGTGAGGGGAGCGGGGGGGGGGGGGGGGGGGGGGGGGGGGGGGGGGGGGGGGGGGGACCACGTGTTTATTCTCTAGGGGCAGCCTAAATAGCCTGTGGGAGTGGTCCTGACCCCCCTAGGGAGGGGTCTCTGTTGGGCAGGCTTTCCTGGAGGTGGAGTCCAGACCAAGGCAACTCCCAGGGGAGGGGATTTGAAATGGAGCTTCCTGCCCCATTCCAAAGGTGGGTGCTAGGGGCTGGAGTGAGGCTCCAGAATATAATATTCCAGACTCTCTATAAAGGCGTGTTAGGGAACTGGGGTGATACTTGCAACCAAACAGTAGACCACAATCCCCCATCCTCCAGCTCTGTGTAAAGCCTTTAATATTGAGTTGAACTTCTGCTACTAGAAGAATATCATAACTACTTGACCTACGCTGAAGAAGGGGTAAAATTGGAACTGAATTGAGTTTGGCAGGTGCGATGTTTCATGTTAAATATACTGAGTCATACAAAGGGAAGGGTAGTGCAGAAATATTACAGATATAGCCAGATGCCTTTGCCAGTCTGTTAAACTCTAAACCGTTGACCATGAGTCCCACTGTGAGAAGCAGGACTGTCTGAAAAATGTTAGTCTCCTAAGGATTGGAAGAATTAAATGTAGAGGTTACACGTTTTCTCTCTCTTCTCTCTTCCCTTCAGTGTTTGAAAGACGCACAGTGATCCTGAAACCGTCAGACAAGAAAGCTTCCAGCAATTCCAGGGGACATTTGCCTACACTCGGGCTGCAGTATTTTCAGCCAGCCTGACTGGACAGCCGGCCTGGGCCTCATCTTTTGGTGGAGTGAAAAAAGTTGAGCCAGTAAAGCCAAATCTTTTTGTTTTTCCCCACGTGCACTGGCAATGAGTTTATTGGCCATTTAGGGCAGTCACACACACAAAGACAAAGTACAAGGCAATGAAGGACAGAGACCTGCAGCATAGTCCCGTCCCCTGTCCCCTTCAGCATTGTCTGCCTAACCTCCTCATGACCCTCGTGTCCTCGTGGGCCTCAGAGAAGGCCCCCTCCTCCTTGCCTCACTCACACAAAGACCCACTTGGAAGCCAAATCTTAATAGCAAGCAGCACCCACGCACCTGGCTCCTTGCTGAGGGCAAGTCGGAATTTAAAATGTGAATTTGACGTCAAATGTCTCACTGCCAGCTAAAGTGGCATTAATTACTTCCTAAGTTTAAGTCTTAGAGTAAAACATTCCACTAGTGCCCACCATCCACCATTAATTGCTACGGAAGCTTCTTTGTGTGTTCCCACTCTTCTGTCTCCCCGTTCTCTGTAAAATAAAACTCTCTTGCTAAGTAATTTAAGTGTAAGTTCTTAGAATACTTAAATACCAAACTAAGAAAAGGAATAAAATAAAACTAATATTTCCTCAAATATTAGTTTTCATCAATATGCCAGCATGATGCCTTATAGTTAAAAACAGATTTTTTTTAAAGCACCTCAGACAGACTGGGACTGTGGCTCAGTGGGAGAGAGCTTGCCTAGCATGCTTGAGCCCTGGGTTCTAATCCCGGCACCTCCTCCACTCATGCCTAGTGAAAGGGTTTGGATGTCTTCTCAGCAGGTACCGGTTGTAAATAAGAATGAAGTAGGGGCCAAAATTGGAAACCAGAAGTGAAGCAGCTATGTGTAGTTAGTAATTTCTAGTGTGAGCTGTAACTGAGTGTTCAGCTTCATATGTATTATTTTATATTGTACTTTTTTCATTGTTGATGGTTTGGACTTTAATAAGGAAAAACTCCATAGTTTTTAATGTCACAGAAAGAAGATATTTCAACAGTGTATTCTGGAAGCAATATACTAACCAAAGTGAATGCTTGTACATATTACGAGCCCTCTTCCCCAGTGCCTCAATTGTCAAGTACTTAAAGCCTGTAAAACCGTGAGACTGTAGTCACTTGCAGACTGACGTGATCGCTGATGCGGCAGCGTGGAAACCAGCGCTCCAGAAGTGCAATCCTAGACGCTAACCGGCCCTCTGCCTCGTGTAACTCAAGGGGAAAGTGATTTGATTCAATGCACGAATTTCTTTGTTGCTTGTGTTGTCCTTTGCTTGGATGCAATGCCATGCAGCTTTTGCGGCTGCGATTTTTAGTTATTTCGCATTAACACCCTCACTGGAGTCAACATTACCCTCTTACTTGACCAATATTAGCCCTTCAACTGCAGCAGGAAGAGAAGACGAAAAAAAAAAAACATTTTGTGGGAAAATTGTTGAGATCCGGCACTCGAAATCAAACAAGAATAAAAGTTCATACTTGATGCCTTAAGCCACTCCTGCCCGAAGCTCTGAGGGGCTTAGATGGGCAGCGATGCTTGCTATAGTACTACTGTATTTTTTGTAGAATTGTTCACTAATAAAACTTGCCTGCTTAATCTCAAGGTCGGCAGTCTGTTCCTGACGAGGCTCGTGGGGGAGGTAACAGGTGGACCTTTCTGTTAGTGGGACGTCCTTTGCCCTCGTTTACTGTACACAGTTACAAAAGCTTCCAACAGCCGGGCGGTGGTGGCACACGCCTTTAATCCCAGCACTCGGGAGTTCGAGACCAGCCTGGTCTACAAGAGCTAGTTCCAGGACAGGCTCCAAAACTACAGAGAAATCCTGTCTCGAAAAACCAAAAAAAAAAAAAAGCTTCCAACAAGAGGCTCTTGAGTTCTGGAAATTTCAACACCTGTGACGTATTTGAACTTGCATCTTTTGTGTTGGGCACCTGTCCAGGCCCGTGTGTGTGAAGTTATTCTCCAACGTAGATTTGAGACAGGAACGCCACTGAATCTGCAGCTCAGTGATGATTCACCCCCCAGTGCCGGGGTTACCATGGTTACCACCATGCCCGTCTCCATGATTCACCTCCCAGTGCCGGGGTTACCGGGGTTACCATGGTTACCACCGTGCCCGTCTCCATGATTCACCTCCCAGTGCCATTATCTACAGTTCCAGCTCTTTGTGTAGAGACAGGGTTTCACTAAATTCTCCAACCTAGCAGTTCCCCTATTAGAGCCTTCTGAGTAGCTGTGATTGCAGGCTTGTGCCTGACTAAAACTTTTCTGTCATGAAATCAATCCTGTTTTCTCATTAAAAATTTTTATGCAATATATGCTGATCATGGTTTCCCCTCTTCTTCCAGGTCTTTCCCGCCTCCAAGTCCATGGGCCTTATTTCTCTCTCTTTAGAACACAGACAAGAAACAGCACATGAAACACACAAAAACAACCCATAACAATACAAAATTGGAAACTAATACATAAGCAAAAGACCAGTAAGGTTAAAAAAAGAAAAACTGTCAACCTCCAAAAATATAATTGTTTTTTACTTAGTTTTTGTATTGCCTGTCTCCTGCTGGTCGGGTGGTTTGTATGCCGAGGAGGCTGCACTGGAGAAAATATTTTTCCTTTGCAGTGGGTATCAATTGAAAGGCGGGTTCTTGTTTAAGGATGAGAGTTTCTGTCCATTTCCACTTCTCAGGGCTGGGATCCCATGCAGCTTGAACCTGTGCAGGCCTGTCTTAGCCAGAGTTCCTATTGTGGCAATGAAACACCGTGACCAAAAAGCAACTTGGGGAGGAAAGGGTTTATTCGGCTTACACTTCCATACCATCATCAAAGGAAGTCAGGGCAGGATTTGTATAAGCATAAGCATGGATTCTGTTGGAGGATGCAGAGTACCTGGAGCCTCTTTCGTAGGGGTGGGTTCCATTCGCAGAGACAAAGCTCAGGATTAGGGCCGGGCATTCAGGTGGAGGCTGGCTCCTAATAGAATAGCAAAGGGTCCCCAGGTGGCTGTGGCTCTTGCCTTTAATCCCAGCACGTGGGAAGCAGAGGCTGGTGGATCTCTGTGAGTTGGCTGTTTTGGGGCCCCTCTGCTACTGCTACCACTGGAGACCTGCAGCGCTCCTGCCACTGCAGCCGCTGGGGATCCAGCAGCAGTTTTAGTTAATCCATTACAGGAGCCATGTAAAGATGGACGGAGACACGCATGGTGTGGCAAATGCACACACAGTCACTAATAAAAAGGACACTGAGCTTGACTTCTGACCACGTGTACACACATGCATCTGCCCACACACTAACATGCACACACACACAAAAGATAAGGGAAATTTTAGGCAAAGAAGAGCTAACTTCCCACTGAAGACCCTGTCACTTTCCAGCATTCTTACACTCTTTCCCAGTCATACCTGCCTGCCCCACTCTCCCTGGGGCACAGAGTACTCAAGCAGCTAGTTCCTAGGTCTGGAGCACCAATGGACAGATCTGCGGACTTCCCAAAAAATCAACAAAGAGACCGAGTCCCATGTGTAAAAGCAAAGAAAGAGCCTTTATTTTCTTTATTTTTCTTACAAGTTGGCAACTTTGGGCTCTCTGTGTCCAACGTATTGAAGTGATCAGAGAGCCCCGAACTCAGTTGGGGTTGGGTTTTTACAGCAGCAAAGTTAGGGGTGAGGGATTTCTAAGGTTCAGGACCCCTGATTGGCTGACACTTGTCTAGGGGTGTCCTGGTGAAAAGCTATGGGTGTGGACTGGCAGGTGATCCTATCTGCAATGGTTGGAATGTTAGGAATTTCTTCCTTGGTGTCAGGGGATGGGTGTGTGATGGGCTAAGGGGCATCTATTCCTGGGTGGAGCTTGGGTGTTTGTGGTCTTTCTTAGAACCAGGTATTGCCTTAGGGTAAACCGAGGCTCAGGCCTACCTTCCTGTCTTGGCAGGTGTGTACCAAGCTGCTGGGTCCTATGCTTACATATGATCCTCACCACCCCTTTCGCAACCACGTTCCTGGGACATCCATGCTGGCATTACCTCTCCAAGCTCAAGCAGTCACCTCTTCAGGATACCTGGCCTGTCCCCCAGCTGGGGCCTCCATCCTCTGGTTTTCCAAGATGTCCCAATGAAGGGCACACTCATCTTTGTCAATACGGCTAGAACAGGTGTTAAGAATCTAGTTTCTTTCCCCCAGCAACTTGCCTTTTCTGCTTCCTCATGAAACAAATGCCTGACATCTCCAGGATGGCAGTTAACTGGATGCTTATCCACCTACACCTACCACTGAGCATGAGCCCACCAGCTCTGCTCCTCCCCCACGTCACCTCATGCCCTCAGAAAGCAGCAGACATGAACTGATGTCCATATACCAAAAGAGTCTGGGATGTTCTGGTAGAACATTTTCCTTATCCATTCTTAGATCGAGGGGCATTTAGGTTGTTTCCAGGTTCTGGCTATGACAAACAAAGCTGCTATGAACATAGTTGAGCAAATGTCCTTGTGGCACAATTGAGCATCCTTTGGATATATATCCAAAAGTGGTATTACTGGGTCTTGAGGAAGGTTGTTTCCTAATTTTCTGAGAAATTGCCACATTGACATCCAAAGGTGTTGGACCCTAGTGTCCAATCACCGAGGAGGAGGAGTCGCCCCAAGAGACCATCTCTCATCACAGCTGATGTAAAAGCATGAGGATTTTATTAATTCTGTCATGACAGGGTCTTCCAGCAGTCGAGAGGCTAGAAAACCCTGAATGTCTGGTACAGGCTATTTTTAAAGGGAAAAACCACAGAAGGAAGGGGTGTCTGGGTTTTTTTTGTTGTTGTTGTTTTTTTTTTTTGTTTTGTTTTGTTTTTTTGAGACAGGGTTTCTCTGGCTTTGGAGCCTGTCCTGGAACTAGCTCTGTAGACCAGGCTGGTCTTGAACTCACAGAGATCCGCCTGCCTGTGCCTCCCGAGTGCTGGGATTAAAGGCGTGTGCCGCCATCGCCCGGCCCTGGGGGTTGTTCTTTATTATGATTGGCTTATTCAAAACGGCTATTACCAATAATTGGCTCGAGAATGGTTGCCAGATCAGATGAGGTAAAGGGAAACTTCTGAGGGTCACTTTGCCTCTTCCGAGGGACTAAGTCAAAACATCAGTAACTGAGTCAACACCTAAGGGTTATCATGCCCCTATTCAGGGAGATGGAAAGTTCCCAACATCTCAGTACGTGCATGCATAGCTGTTATGTCCTTGGTTCCCAGGGGAGGAGGGGAAGTACTGAGAGTTGTCAGAAATGGCTTCAGAATTGTCTTAAAGTTCTACAAAGGGGCTGTACTAGCCTGCATTCCCACCAGCTATGCAGAAGTGTTTCCTTTTCCCTACAACCTCTCCAGCATATGTTGTCATCAGTGTTTTTGATCTTGGCTATTCTTACAGGTATAAGACGGAATCTCAGAGTTGTTTTGATTTGCATTTCTCTGATGACTAAGGATGTTGAACATTTCCTTAAGTGTCTTTCAGCCCTTTTAGATTCCTCTGTTGAGAGTTCTCTGTTTAGACCCCAAGAGTGCTGCCAAGGCAGACGTTGCTGTGGTGGTGTGGAAGGCTGAGGAAGGTCTAGGCAGATATATAATAGAGTTAAGGGGCTGCAGAGATGGCTCAGCGGTTAAGGACACACTGGCTGTTCTCCCAGAGGTCCTGAGTTCAATTTCTGCAACCACATGGTGGCTCCCAATCATCTGTGAGGAGATCTGCTGCCCTCTTCTGGCCTGCAGGAATACATGGAGGTAGAACTCTATATATAATAAATCTTTTACAAAAACCTTTTCAACTATTTTAATAGAACATACTTTAAATTTCTTAATTTTTTTATTCTTTTATGAATATTGGTGTTTGCCCACTTGCCTGGTCTCTGTGAAAGCCACGATCTTTTTAACTTCTAAGTCATCTCTTCGGCACCACTACTTCAGTATTTTAAAAATAAACAAAGAAACGTATAGGTGGATAGTGGTGGCGCATGCCTTTAATCCCAGCACTTAGGAGGCAGAGGCAGGTGGATCTCTGTGAGTTTGAGGCCAACTTGGTCTACAGAATGAGTACCAGGACAGGCTTCAAAGCTACACAGAGAAACCCTGTCTCAAAACAAAAGAACAACAAACAAACAAACACAAACAAAAAGGTACAGCCAAGTGGTGACTGATCATTCCTTTAATCCCAGTACTAGGAAGGCAGATCTTTGTGAATTTGAGGCCAACTTGGTCTACAGTGCAATTTCCAGAACAGCCAGGGCCACACAGAGAAACCCAGTCTTGAAATAAATAAATAAGAGAAAAGAAAAAAAGAAAGACAAGTAAACTACAGAAAGCTGGGTATAATGTTGCATGGTTCTATTCTCAGCACTTGGGACCTGGAGTCAAGAGCGTTGCCATGAGTTCAAGGCCAGTCTAGGGCATATGAGACTCTGTCTCAAAAATAAAGAAAAAGACTAAGAACTAACAAATGGAGACAAAAGAGCAACATGATTAGCTCAATAGAGCCATCTCAGAAATCATCTTCAGTTATCATATCAAAAGAAAACCAGTTCCTCTTCTATCTCCCTCCCTCCCTCCCTCCCTCCCTCCCTCCCTCCGGGATCATTCTTGCCATCTTTGTGGCTGGGTACCCGAAGCAAGAGGTCTACAAACTGAGTCCACCTTGGTCCATATATAGTGAGCTCCAGTCTCAACAACAAACAAACACTGTCCTTTCAGTCCACAGACCCCGTCTAGAATGTTTTGCCTGGCTTTGAAACCATCGTGAGAACATGCACGCACTGACAGAGGATCAGGTCCAGGGTTCCCGCTCTAGTGACTTGCTCTGCGCTTGGACCTCAATTTTCTCTGTGTAAAATGGGACGGACGTGGGGGACTAGATCAGGACAACAGTCTCTGACTTCCCGAGTCCAATCCCAACGTCACGAGACGCTCGCTCTGGCTCCTGCTTTGCGGTGCGTGTGAGTCACGGCGGAGGGAGGAAGGGAGGGCGGCCGCGGGCTCACAAGCCCCACACCTCCCTGGAGCGCGGCCATCACTGCGCCGTCGTGGGCTCGTGCTGGGCGCGCCGGCGAAACGCTCCGGCTGGCCTCCGTTCCCTGCACTCTGGTTCCCGGAGCGCCTGGGGGGGACACAGTTGGCGGCGACACCCGAGGGGGGCGGGTCAGGAAGTGGGGGCGCGGCGGCCGGGAGCGGGCCGCGGCGGCCGCGGGTTGGCAGACGGCGGAGGTTTGGGAGACTCCGGTCCGCTCGGCAGCCGGCGGGCCACCCGGGCCTCCGCGGAGACGATGGCGAAGGAAGAAGGTGACGGCCGCGCCGTGCAGCGCGCCAACCGCCGCGGCGGGCTCGGGAGAGGGGCCGGGGCCCGGCTGCGGCCCGTTGGGGAGCGGGGCGGCCGGGGGCGCGCGCCCCTGAGTTTGCGGAGGACCCGGGCGCGCGGAGAGAATGGCCCGAAGTTTTGTCTCCCGGAGTGGGACGCTGAGATGGAGCTCAGAGTTGGAGTCTCGGAGAGGGAGCTGGTGGGGAGTGGCGGAGCCGTGGGTCCAGAGCTCCTCGGTGCTGGAAAGCGGGACGAGGTTGGGTGGGCTCGGGTGCGCGCCGGGAGCTTGGGATCGCACCCTGCGCGAGGAACGGAGGCGGGGAGCCTGGATGAATGCGCCGAACCTGACGGTGCTCACTTGTGCCGTGAGGGATAACGAACCGCAAAGGGCAGGGGCGTGCAAGTGGTTTTGAGGGAACGAGGAGTCCAAAGGACCTCTTGGGTTAAAATTGATGGACTGGAGAGATCTCTGTACGCCCCTCAGGGTCAGTGCCAAGAAACTGATTTTTTTTTTAAAGACAGCAGTATTTATCCAGAGTGGATGCCCACAGTTAGAGGAAAAATAGGTGGAGGTAAGAAACTAAGTTGGCAGTGATAAATGTATTTGTAAATACTTTTTTATGCAGTAAAAAAGTATTTGTGGTACAGTAACTGCATGATACGGGTATGCACGACTGTGCTCTTAGACTTTCCTCGCTTGGCTGAGCAGTTAGATGCTGCATTCTGCTGGAAAACAGTTTATCTTACAGAGTGGAGTTGGGAATGGGCTTGTTAGTTCCTCGGATTTAGATTTAAACCCTTGAGCCGAGGGTACAAGAGGGGAGTTTGCAAAATTCAATGCAAAGCTATTCTTGAGAAGGTTATCAGAACTGTAGTGCTGACTGGGACTGTCCCTGAAGTCAGGATTTAATCACCCCTCTTTCTGCAGTTCCCCGCGTTAGGATTCACCCACGTTTAAGATACTGCCTAAAAAACAGCCTCGGAAACAGGTAGTTTGTTAGGACGACCGTAATTCCTCTTGTTTCCTTAGTTTTACTTGTTGCAATGTGTTATCATTTGTAAAAAAAAAAAAATGTTTGTGTAAGTTTTATTTTTGTGGTTAGCTACAAGTCTGTGATCCAGGAAGGTTGACAAACCAGTTTGCATGCCCTTGTGAGCACATTCCAAAAAAAAAAAAAGCATTACTAAAACTTGATATTGTAAATATGCAAAAATGTCATTTAGGATGTAGTCATGCTTAACAGCTATGATGCTGAACTTGTTAAAAGACTTATAATTTTTTAGAAGTATTTGACTATACACTAATAAATGATTTTTTGGTTGTAGAATTATAGGTAATCTAAAAACCAATGTGTTGTATTCCGGACAATTAGTGGCTGCCAGTTTATTGAAATATATTGTTTACTTCAACAAATGTTTAATTTCATGGCTAGGCCTCTACTTTTTTAGGCGCAGAGAATGAATAAATGTTCATAATAATGATGTTGTTGATGGTAGGATTTATAGCAAACATGCAGGTGTTCCCCTGGCTACTTTCTGTTTATATAGTTTGTATTTGTTATGATAAAATTAGGACAATCTGTATATTTTTATTTGAATCCGGGTGCCGTTTTTTTTTTAATATTTATTTATTTACTCTGTCTGTGTGTATGCCTGCAGGCCAGAAGAGGGCACCAAACCCCATTACAGATGGTTGTGAGCCACCATGTGGTTGCTGGGAATTGAACTCAGGACCTTTGGAAGAACAGGCAGTGCTCTTAACCACTGAGCCATCTCTCCAGCCTCCGGGTGCCGTTTCTAGCTTTTGGCTCATTCACAGGCACTTGGAACCTCGTTGTTTTCCGATTGTCTCTCACAGTTAATTCTTCCAAACATCTTTCTTGATGCAGTAGAAGTTTATTGGTGCTTACATTTATACCCCCTGAAACAAACATAAGTCAAAGAAAGGAACAGCTTTTCTCCTGGGCCCTGCCTGTCTCTTCCAGATGGACACCTGGAAGCCTGTTTGTTTGTAGCCTTAGCTCGTGTGCTGATGACAGGACTAGAGACTGAAGTAGCAGATTTCCTGTGGATGTGTAATCATCATTTGGTTTGGCCTTTTCTTTCTAATGCTAAAAATGTAACCTTTTGAAAAGGGAACTTGAATTCATCCCAGAGATTGCTTTCAGCTTTGCTATTTTCCACGCCCCATCCTTTGGTCAGTGTTAGCTCCAACCCAGGGTCTAAACTTTGCTGCCTGACTTCATCATCCCCATGGCATAAGTTTTGTCTTTCTATTGTTCAGTTACCTGGATAATAATACAAAGGAAGTGAGAATTTGCATTTATTTAGCTTTTTAGCACCATGCAAAAACTTGGTTTTATTGACAGAATTTATGAAATGATTAAAATACAGAGGCATTTCGTTGATGAGGAATGAGAACACCGTGGGAGTTTAGAGTGCGGTTAGAGATCATGGCGCCATGAAAGTAGGTGAGAGTTGGATTGTGAGACCAAACCTCCAGACACGGCTCACCTTTTATTGCTGCACTGTGATCTAGAGACATTTTACGAAGTGCGAGTTCGCTTGGAAACAGTCTCCGAATCTGTTTTACACAGTTTCACAGTAAAGCTAAGGAGTTGTCTGTTTGATCAGAGCGGCCCATTCTTAGTGCTACTGATTCCATCCTTTGGTCCACATTTTATAGCTGAGTGACTTAACTAAGAGGAAGGAAGAGAGATAAAAACCTGGGCCACATTATGAACTTGTCAGGGGCCTCTAGCCTATCACAGTAGTTTCTATTCCGCTAGGAAAGGAAAAACTTATCTGTGCCAAATTCCTGCTCAATGTGTAGTCTCTTGTTCTTTAATTTGGAATTTAACTTACTGGTTTACTAACTTCTGCATTACATTTTAAAACATTAGAGATAGGGCTGGAGAGACGGCTCAGTGGTTAAGAGCATTGCCTGTTCTTCCAAAGGTCCTGAGTTCAATTCCCGGCAACCACATGGTGGCTCACAACCATCTGGAAAGAGGTCTGGTGCCCTCTTCTGGACTACAGGCATACACACAGACAGAATATTGTATACATAATAAGTAAATAATTTTTTTAAATAAAAAACATTAGAGATAGAAAAGGTGAGCATTTTAGCATTAGGACACTTTTTTTCAAGCTCTTCCCCATGTGTGAGGGGACCTACCTTTGTGAGCTCTGTGAGATCCTTTTGTGGAGAAGGCCTGGCTAGGCAGTAGTTCAGCAGTACAGTATTTGCCTAGTGTGCTCAGGACCCTTTGTTCAGTCCCAAATCCTGGGAAGAAAAATGGTGGTGCATCCTGTAATTCCAGCATTTGGAAGACTGAGATGGGAGAGTCAGGAGCTTGAGGCTACTCAAGAGGGGGGAACAGGAAAAAGCATAATTTTATAAACAATGGATTTGGTTTTTTTTTTGTTTTTTGTTTTTGTTTTTTTGAGACAGGGTTTCTCTGTGGCTTTAGAGCCTGTCCTGGCACTAGCTCTGTAGACCAGGCTGGTCTCGAACTCACAGAGATCCGCCTGCCTCTGCCTCCCGAGTGCTGGGATTAAAGGCGTGTGCCACCACCGCAGGCAACAATGGATTTGTTAATCTCGGGTAGCTAACATAGTAAGATTAAAAATATCCCTCAGAATTTTTGGGAAAAAATTAACTTTTTTTGGAATATTTTTTAATTATTTATTTGTTTTGCCCACATGTGTATCTGTGTGAGGATGTCAGATCTTGGAGTTACAAATAGTTGTAAGCTGCCATATGGGTGCTGGGAATCGAACCTGGGTCCTCTGGTTCAGCAGCCAGTGCCCTTTAACCACTGATCCATCTCTCCAGCCCCCTTTTTTTGGAACATTTTCTTTCTTTCTTTCTTTCTTTCTTTCTTTCTTTCTTTCTTTCTTTCTTTCTTTCTTTCTTTCTTTCTTTCTTTATTTGAGCATTTTAAAAGAGCATCATTTCAGGATAAGAATTCATAAGCTTCTTTACCAGTTAGTCTCTTAAAATGTGAGTGGCGGTGGTGGTGGTAGGGAATGTATGTTTGTTGTTGTTAACGTTCCTGTACACTAAAGACTGTTTGAGGAAGAGTTCCAGATACGAAAAGTTACTTCCGGCACTATTGGATCTCACAGGACCTGTGATGCCAACATTTTCTCTTTATAGAGTCACAGATGATATACTTGATTCCCTCCGTATCAGAGTTGTGTCATTTGTGCCAATTTATCAACCAGGGGAGCTCATTAGAGACAGGGCCTGGGGGTGTGGACTGGGATCTGGCCATGTAGGTAGCCTTTGCTTTTCACATAGCAGAGTTGATGCACTCGAGGTACCTAAGATGGATGCACGCATTGCAATAATGTCTTTAATGCCTTAAGGGTCGTCTGTAGAAGTCCGCCAAAGGAAGAAGCACAAGACTTCAGGAAGCCAGGAAGCCAGAGCACAGAAGACCAGAAGCCCCGCAGTTTCTGAAAGACTTTCAAAATGTAAGTCACGTAGGTCTGGGTGGGTGCCTGGGTGTGGTACACCAGCTGGAAAAGTATGTTTTTGTCAGGTCAGGGCGTGAACTTCAAAATTATTTCTTGCTTTTTGTGTTTTGAGGTGTTGGGAACTAAGCCTGGGCTTGTGTACCAGCCAGACAAGCACTTTCCACTGAGCATGCCCCCATCTTATACAAAGATATTTTGAGATTAAACTCATCGTTAACACAATTGATTTTTGCTATAGAATAGCCCCTAAACTGTATCACCTTACAATATGCACTTACATTTTGTTTATGGTTTGTGGCCATGGTATGACATGACACGACCAACACTGATTTCTGAGTTAGGTTACATGTTTGGTCACAGGTTGGCTGGTTTGGCTTCATGTCCCAGGAAGGAATAGCCACTCTTTGGCACATTTTTTTTCTGGGATGCAGGAGAAGAGCCCGAGAGTATGTAGAATCATTCATGCCCCTTGGAGCTTCTGCTAGACTGGCCCACTGTCACTTGTACTTCTGTTTGTGGTCCAAGCAAGTCCTAGTGAATCCAGATAATGGATTTACGGAAGCACATCGTGACTACAGGAAACAGAAGGCACGTGGTCATGGGTAGAAATACATCATCTTCTGTCTCCATTCATTTATTTTATCACATTGCAGATCAAGCCCAGGGCTTTGAACATGTGGCTCACGCTGTCTGTGAGCTATTTCACCCTATAATCTTTCCGTAAGGAAGGAGAAAATGGTTGGTAATATTAACACCATCTTACTAAACTTTATCCCTTTCCTTATAAATATTTGGCCTTCTCTGTAGTAAGAGAGGCCGCTTGTTTGTTCCTGGCTGCTGAACCCTAAAATAACCACGCAGAAACTGTATTAATTAAATCACTGCTTGGCCTATTAGCTCTAGCTTCTTACTGGCTAACTCTTACATCTTAATTTAACTCATTTCTATTATTCTATATTTTATCACGAGACTCGTGGCCTACTGGCAAGATTCTGGTTGTTGATTTGTGTCTTTCTCCTCTGGCAGCTCCATGGTGTCTCACTGACTCTGCCTCTTTTCTCCCAGTATTCAATTTAGTTTTCCCCGCCTACCTCTATTCTGCCCCGCCAGGCCCAAGACAAATTCTTTACTCATTAACCAATAAAAGCAACCCATATACAGAAGGACCTCTCACACCCTCTGTCAGACAGAGCACACCCTCCCTGCACTAAGGAAGATATCCAGTTTTATTTTGTCATAACATCAGTTTTAAAACTCTTATTGTCCTTAAACTATGATTCACTATAGTGAATAACATAAAGTCAGCATAGGGAAAGACCTTTTGGGTAAAGTGTAAGTTATTGGACATACACTTCCAAAATTCCTCTCCCAGTGGACCTGTAGGACCCCCTTTATCTCTTTGTCCTCACATTGTGTCAACAAGGGAAGCACATTAGAGCCAGCCCTTGGTTTTCACAGAGTTGGCCATGTAGGTATTGTAGGTATCCTTCGCCTATCAGCTGACTAAATTTTAAACTCTGGAGGAAAGCATAAACAACATTGTACAAAGCCTAAGTTACAGATAGTGTAAGCCACCAGAAATGGGTGCTGGGGATGAGCTGGTCTTCTGGGAAAGCAGCAAATCCTCTTAGTCACTGAACCATCTTTCAAGCCCCCTGCTTAGCAGTATTTCATGTGAACTTTGTGTTTGTGGATGTATATTTTTATTTCTTATAGGCAAACCTTTTTATTAAGGTTTTTCCCCTTCCTTCCTTCTTTCCTTCCTTCCTTCCTTCCTTCCTTCCTTCCTTCCTTCCTTCCTTCCTTCCTTCCTTCCTTCTCTCTCCTTCCCTTCATTGCTTCCTTCTAGATAGGCTTTCTCTGTGTAACCCTGAATGTCTTGAAGATCCCTGCGTAGACCAGGCTGGCCTTGAACTCAGACATTGCCTGCCTCTGCCTCTTGTGTGTTGAGATTAAAGGTATGTATTATCATTCCCAGCCTTTTTATTTATTTATTGGGTTTTTTTTTTTTTTTTTTTTTT